CTGGATAATAGGTCAGAAGCCAGAGTGAATGTGGATGGTTAAGAAATTTAGAAGAGATAGCACACAAGCCATCAGGGTTGTACAAGGTACACATGGTAATGGGACCTTCACTCACTCTTGTGTGCCAATCCTCCAAGTCCCAGGACATAGAGCAGCATTCATAGCTGCTCCTATTAGACAGACTTTCCAGTAGCTAATGCAGCCAGGATAGCTGCTGCAGTGAAGATGGGGCCAGAATTCAGCTGTGGAAACAAAACAGCTGAAGTATTTGGGGAAGGAATATATGTGAAGGAGAAAAGGTTATGGCAGCTGAGAAAATTTAATTTTGCTTTGCAGTGTAAAAGGTGTGATTGACAAATGAGGTGTGAGTGCTGAATTCTGAGAGGTTTCACAGCTAAAGATGTATGTTGGTATGACTGATGTAAAAGCAGAAAGCAATCACAACTGCAGGCCAAGGCCCTAAACACAATGAGGATCTTAGAAAATCTCCCATTCTTCAATTCTAGCCCACCTATGCCTCCCATCCAGTCACAAAAAATATCCATGGTTGAAACAATCAAGGGCTACACTGAAGTCCTATCCTATAGCCAGCAGATCTTCTAACAAGAGATCACCAAATATGCTGACTCCCTTGGAAAATAAAACCAAAATAAACAAAAAGCACCAGCCCAAAAAAGAGCCTAAAGTCAGAAGTTCCAAAAGTTTGTCTGCAAGTTTCCAGAGCTCACCTCCCCAGCCTGCCACAGACACTAACTCATCAGTTAGTGCTGGAAAGTGCTCTTGCAAATGCTGCTGACACGTGCAGCCTTAACTGCTTGGGCCTGCCCACATGCAGAGAGCTCCCTGAGTCATCTCAGCCCAGCTCTGACTACAGTTCATCTCCTGGGTCAGACAGCAAAAAGACTAATGATATCTTGGCTGAAGTTTCACTGCTTTGGTCAGGTCTTGCTTTTTCCAAGCTCTGTTTTTTGGTTTTCCATGTTGCTTAAGGATTGTGAGTGATGAATTTCTCATTAAATCATGCTTCCTGGGTCTCAATTTTTATCAAAGATCCAAACTGTCCTTTTGGCAAGGTCAGGCCAGGTTTTCCAAAAGGCTGTTTAAACAGGAAGCAGATGGTCAAATACCCTCCAGGCTTTGCAAATTAAATAAACTGGCTTCTGAGTCAGTTACCATTTTCAGATATACTCTCCCATCCACTGAAGTCTGTTAACAGGAGCAGAACACAAAGAAAATGATTCTCTCTGCTAATACACTTCGTGACAGTTTGTCTAATAAAGTCGTGATTTAGCGACATGATCCATTATAGCTGCAAATGGCAGATTGGGCTCTTTGACACAGTAATTACCGATAAGAACAGGTTGTGAAGCTGCAGATAAAAAGGGGTGGGGGGAAGGAATAGTAGCAGCTCCAAGAGCAGATTGGTACAGCAGTTTATTAGTCTGTCAGCAGGACAGAAAAACTATTTTACTAGTGATTCTTTATTCTTGAGTAAAAACTGGTGTGTTAGAACAACCAGGTTTTCAGTACTACTCAACTTTGCAATCTAGTTCCCTTAAGAGCTACAGGAAACACACAAACCTAGCTGAGCACTCCTGCTGTGTTGTCACAGCTGTAATCCCATAATTGGGAGTTTGGTTTTCAGGGAAAGGAAAGAGGCAGTAGTGGTATCAAAACTAGAATTTAACCACAAGAGCCAGTACTCCTACCAGATCTCACAAGCTAAGCAGGGCTAAATTAGCACATGGGAATAGAGATGACCAAAGTAAAATTACGTGATTAAGGACATTGCCACATTACATTGCAGCCATTTCCATGACCTTAATGGATCAGGGAAGGCTTTGGATAGATTCTCTGTTCTTGGCATGAAGTAAGGTCTTGATCAGTGCAGTAGGTGGAGGACCAGGAGGCTGTTAGTAGGTAATATGTTCATTATAACTAGACCCTGATACAATCAAATACCAAACTCTTTAGACTTGTTATGTAATTCCTACCATCTGCTTGGAGACCACAAGACAGTCAGATCCTCTCAAGAAGTTTGCACATAGCAAAAGTCGAGAGAAGTGTTTTTAATGAGTCATGTCCAGAGAAAACAAAGAGCCTTTGATTCAATCATTTTCCTCTTTCTTTTCTGCTTTACTGCAAGGGAATATTGTGAGTTCACTACATCTGCCTCAGCTGCCCACTGTTACTAAAAAGGTGGTATTAACCAGAGTAATACTCATTTATGACAAAATTTGCAATAGTCAACCACTGACTTTCATTATTACTGGACAAAAGCATTTGGGATCCACAGGACTGAACAGGAGAGCTTGACAAAGCTAGAGGCTGTAGAGTAATGGAAACCAGGCTCAGTGCTACATCCTCTGGGCTCTGCACAGGCATGGAAGAGGTGACTGGCTGCATTCTGGGGGCTGCTGCCTCCAGACTGAAAGAAATAACCCCATCTAGTATAAATCAGTGTATACCACTGTTAGGAAGTTGTTCAGAGAAACATAATTTATGTCCATAACACTCTACAAGAACATTGGAATTGCCTTTTACTGCCCATGGTGGTGACACCAAAGAACAGAAGGGGCTTTTTTTCCCCAGACTGTGGCTTCTGAGCTGCAACATTTCAATATTGAAAACCAGGAAGAAGCCTAAGTATCAAATTTTCAGCCACCATGTAGGCAAGCACTGAAGCACCAAAAACTTGTGGTTGGTAGTACCTAATGAAAAGCAGCAAACAGCATGCTTTGAGGAAAAGCTACAGAGCCATCTGGAAAAAAATCTAAATCAAATGAGGTCATTTACGTGTGAATTACTTTAATAAGTGAAATGAGGCAGAAGAGTGCTCAGTTTTGTTTTCATTGCATGAAAAAGCCAATCTTTTGCTAAAGGAAAGTTATATTATTTAGAGAAATGCATTTTTGAAAAGTATAGTAATGTCTGACTTGCACCTAATGTTCTCTTTGCAGGAGGCAATACAGGGAGAGTAAGAAAGATTCCTGCTATGTTTTACCTATGACTCACCAGTGGTCACCAGCAGAAGACACTGGGCCAAAGGGGCTTCTAAGCCTTCCTTATCTTCTTCACATGCTACCATGGGGTTTTTGGAGTAAGGGACCCAGGTTTCCAAATTTAGCTGTAAACTTCAGATTGAAATCAACTTAGAAACTATGAACTGCAGTGTCCTGTTTTACAGTAGGATACTATTTCTGGACTGTATTGAGGAGATTTTAGACTTCTTAAATTCTTAAAATGAGATTCATTGTTTATGTAGATGGGGGCATGAAAGACACCTTCTCATTCTCCTTTGGTATTTGTACGTAGTACTTCTATGTTGATGAACCACTTATTTGCTGATTCCTAACAAACAAATCTCTCAGCCTTGCCTTCTATGAAGAGTTATTTTTCAAGTCTTTAAGCAGCTCCCATTTAAACAGCCTTACTTAAACACCTTTCTCATCACTTCCAAGAATAAAATAATTAGATAAATGTGAAGAATTGAATTTGCTAAAATAGCAGGTGAGAATGCACGCACTTGTGAAATTATGAGTCCATAAAGAAATGTGAAAATTCTTTTTTTAGTCTACCCTTGACATTTTTATTCCATGTTTAATGTTCTAGCTGGAACTGGAAATGAGTTTTTTCTTTCTGTTTAGTAAACCACGTTCCATAAGTGCTTATTATATGCTGTATTCAGCTTTTGCTATTGGTCACAAATATTGCAAGGTAATGGGGTTCAAAAATAGCAATCCTCCACATTTTACTGAGTAAGCAATTAAACATCGGGCACTCAGTTCTCAACAATTCCTACTTACCCTGCAGTGAGCACAACAGTGGGATGAAAAAGGTTTGAGCAATTTAATGCAGTTACAGACCCTGTCCTGCCCAGAGGGTTGTGTTCATTAGGAATTCTGAGAAGGTGGACCCTGAGGTGTTTCTCTGCAGATCAGGAGGCAGTTGGTTCCACCTTTGCTCAGTCAATACCCTCTGTTTAATGCAAATTCTTTAGTTAATGAGCTTAGGAAACTGCCACAGGATCCTACCTGGAAGCCTCCAAAATCAAGTTTTAATACTCAGAGTATCATAAAGAATTCTGTGTAAACTAGATTTGGATTTCTTTCGGCAACTTAGAATGTATTTTAAGATGCAAAGACACAGCAAGGGTTGGGCCTGCTGAGCTGACCAGTTCCAGAGCTGGGTTGATACACTCTGCACTCTATACCCAGTGTTCCTTTCCACCAAGAAGGACAGGCTTTTCAGGAGGACCTTCTTATAATCTCAGCATTTTGTACAAATTTATGATACTTCACTGTTTCTATGGAGAAGATGATAAGCAAATTCTGAATTTTCTTATTTGCAGAACAGGCAGAAATAGAGACAAAAGGAGTTGCCAGAAGCCACACAGTCAACGGCAGAGCCTGTTTTAGGACTAGATAAGATTTTATCATCTACAGTATCCAAAATAATGTATTAAATAATTTGCCAAATATTTCAGTATCAGCTCTTTCTTTAGGGAAGGAACTACGTCACTTTGTGTGATTGCAAACTTCGGGCAAACAAAGGACTATGTAATAATCATATCTTTTAAAGATTAGAACTTTACACTTTAGCAATGAATCATTTCTAAAACAAAGGCAAATGAGGAAGAAGGGGGAGGTCATGAATAGATCCCTGATCGACCAAAATCTTTTCCCACAAACAAGATGCTTGGACATTGTGCAAAGATATGTAGTGAGGGTTTTGTTTAATTTCTTGCCCTCTAAATATGTTCCTCCCAGCCCATTGTGGAGAACATGGAAAATGAACTTCCCTTTAAAAAAAACAAGTACAGCAGCTTGGCATTTATCCTTTCCATGCACTGTGAATATTTGATTGTAGCAGCACTTTTCAGGAACAATATGAAAATACTGTTGCAACTGCTGTACAGAGCTGAAGGGTGACAGTCAGCCCGACAGGTTCCAATATGTTTCCATGAGAATCACGGAGTGTCATTACCAGCAACTTCTTACCTGACAAGATTGCAAATTGCCTGTGGAGCTGCTCTATTATATCCACCGCTACCAGCGGCCGTATCTCCTGCTGCATGATTTCATCTGTGAAAGGGAAAATAGAAATCTTCAGTGAGTTCATAAAGCCTTAATGACAATTTTTTTCCTCCTTTAATAACCCAGGAAAATGAAGATGACACTCAAAGAAAAAGAGCCTAGCTGGACTATTCCCTGAGGACAATATGACTATCGTGGTAAAGATTGTGATACTTACAGAGTCTCCTCTTCAGCCTGTTAACTTCATCTATTGCCTTGTGATTTCAGAGAGACCTTTCCATAAACCAGCTCCGGTAGATTTGCCAGAGCTTGCCACAGGTTTGCTCAATCTGACAGCCTGCTCCTTACTCCTTACTTCAGGTTCCATATTAAGTCACTGCATTTGGCCTCCCACTACAGCAGTTCTTCAGTCTTTGGAGCAGTGAAGTCTATTCCACATCTATGGCCCCGTTCCACCCTGAGCTCTCCGATCCCTGCTGGAGAACTTTGTGTGACCAGCCAATCCACACAGTTTCCTTTCCTGATGCTTTTTCCGCTACAAGCAAACAAGTAGTAAAAGGAGGAAATAAGGGGCCGTGAGACTTCTTTCTCATGAAAACAAAGCCTGTTATTTTGAAGTAAACACTAAAAAAGTTAACAAGTAACTTGGCAAGTAGCTGGACAAAAATGACCTCAACTTTTGTGTATGATCTATAGAGTGAAAAGCAATTACAGTTTCACATGGACCTAATTTGATCTTTTTGTAACAGGTGCACCAAGTTATTTTCCCCACTCTTCATAGCAGTCTAAAGCAGCAACATTTACTGAGAAATGCCTGCCAACTCAACTGGCAGGATCAAGGTTTATATTATAATAACACCTGCTGGAACTATTCCTTTACCCACTGTACAGAACAGTCCTGGTGCTGTACAGATCACCTATAAGTGCCCAGGCACAGGTGGAAGGAAGGAGGCTGGGTCCAGATAGACCACAGACCTGAGTCAGGGCAGGCAGTTGCCCCATTTAAGCACCAAGATCTTAACTGATGTGAATTTAACATAGGCACAGAAATTCTTCTGTACACCTGGTTTCAAACCAACAGTCCAAAAACAGAGAGGGAGGTCAGAGAAGTTAGAGATTAGCTTCTTTCTCCTGCATCCTAGTCTACTGCTCAAAATATCTTTTCTGTCTTGCTTTCAGACATCCACTCTGATCCTTTCCAGAACCAGGGATTCTAGGTTTTAAATGACATGATGTCACATTGTCACAGACAATGACTATGACTAGGTTGGAAGAGACCTTCAAGATCATTGAGTCCAACCCATGCCCTAACACCTCAACTAGACCATGGTACCTGAGAAACCTCAGGCATCATCCATCAAAGGAAACACTATTGATTTCAGCACCCAGAAGGTGCAAAGTTATTGTGACATCTGTGCAATCCCACAGGTGGTCAGGTACACTCAGGTTTGACCAGGACTGAGATTATGCCAAACAGCTGCAAAAATAGAAAAAAGGTTTCTAAAATGGATGACAGAATCACAAAGATGCTCGACAGAAATGGAAAATTAACTAGAAAAGGTACCACCATCTCTAGCCCCTCAGAGACTTGCCCAGCCCTCCAGGGTAACAAACCCGCCAGTACTTTAGTTTGTGTTTGGTATTTGCCAATATGAAGACATCATTAATATCAACCAGTCTTGAACAAAACAGAAATTCTACCACCTACCCAACCCCTATTTAGCTTTATTAGCTTGCTCTAAACATAGCTTGGTTTCTGGTTTCTAAATACCTTTTTTATTTCAAAACTTTTTCTGATGTAAGATGAAGTGAAAGAAACAAGAACTGCAGAGTGCCAATTAGTTCTCATCCAATCCCCTGCCTGGGCAAGATGAACCGCATGGGATTTGCTGGAAAACTCACACTCAGGAGGAGATGTTCAGATTATGAGAAAGGTGGTACAAAACACGTCCAGTCACTAGGAATCACACATCCAATAGATCAGTACAGTTCACACACTGACATGCTGGGAAAATAAATTGCAACAGAAGAAACCAGCAGGAAACTGAGAAAAATCTGAGAAAACAAGGGAAGGTGCTTCACGAGCCCAAATGACAAATCAGACCATGTAGTTATGAAATGTCAGCAGCTGTAGCCAACAGCACTCAAGGTCCCATTTGCCCATTTGTATCTTCCTCTAGGACAGTGCTTAAAGATAGTTACTCCCCAATATGGAAGAATTTGTAACACAATCACACCACAGACCTTGCAGTAGAAGTCGGAGCCCTTGGAAACATGATTACCTGGGACTGCTGGAGAAAGTTTTTAATCTTTGACTAGAAGAAAAGCTTTAAAAAAAAAAAACCTTATAAGCAAACTAAAAGACAAAAGTCTGTTTTGTTACAAAGCTGTGACATTTGCCTAAGATCAGTGAGCATTAATCATTTTTATCTTCCACTAGCCTTATCCCAGGAAGTTCGGAAGCCTCTCTGATCTGTACTGCAAGCTAGAAGGCAGCAGGAAGTGCTGTGCACCCTCCTGGACAGAAGCAAGGTACTATTTTTCTGTGGGACTGATATTCCAGTTGAGAGACCCCTTCTTCAGGGTGACATGAGCTGGTATTGAGCTGACAGCTACAGATTCATAGACACTTCAGAAAAACTTATTGATGATAGGAACATTTTAACACTACATGGGGTCAAGGGGAAGTTTCAAGAAGCTGAAAAGCTGCAGGACCTTGGCAACTAACTTGTTTCATTGCACCCCTTGCTAATATCTACAGAGGAGATCAGACAACTCCTGGTCACTTCAGAGCAGTCCTGTCCTCTGATAAAATCTCTATACTCATGCAACTCAAGATCTTATTAAAACATATACCAGCCAAGTGTCTGGAACATATTTATTTTGGGAAACTTGACTCAGACATTTCTCACCTTCTCTGTGATTGCTCTTGTGGTCTTCACTTTTTTTTTTTTTTTTTTTTTTAAATATAAGAGGCAGTTATTCATAGCCTCTAAAATTTATAAAAGAAAAATTTAATTGCTTGGTGTTACATGGAGCAATGTCAATCTGCTACACAGGTCATCAAAGATGAACCTTTTCATATACCATACAGTTCTACATTACTTGAATTAATTTAATTTATCAGGACAATTTAAATTTGAATAAGGATGTGATGAAAGAGGAAAAAAAAATAAACAAGTCAGCTCATCTACTCTTGGTACTCCTCTTAAACTGGTATAAACTCAATTCCTAGCAGAGGCCAGTTTCAATGCAGAAGAATTAGGCCTTACAGTTTTGCTTCCCAAGGTTTTCTACCAAGGGGAAGAAAAACAAAAGCAATTACTATAGCCATCTGTTTGGCACAGCTTCTCCTCCTCCCCAGCTCTCTAGGGAGGCTCACTGCAACTGTGCTAGCTGATCCTCAAGGGGAAAGTCATTCAGTTATGTTTCATAATTCCTCATTTAAAAATGAAACCTGCTCAGGCTTGCACAAACACACTTGCTTATTCTGCGTCTTACTCAGCTGTATGTGCTCCCACAGCAGGTCTGGAGCAGCTACACCAACAGCAGATGATTAAAAGGAAGGGAGAATATCCCCCTGTTCTTCCCTCTCTTCTCTGAGCAGACACAAACTAGTTTACATGCTAACGGGAACTACTTGTTTCCAGCAGTGCTGGGAAGGTGACCTGCTGGAGTGAGGGAATAGACACAGCAGTGCCTGTTGCTCCACCTAGGACAACCAAAGGTCGCCAGTCACAACAGGACACTGGGGCTTCTTTGTCTTTAAGTGGCTGAAGGCTACAACTGCCCAGCCTTCTGCTGACTGCAGGAGAGGATGGCTTCAATCCCCCATCTGAAGTCACTGCTCTTGGAAAAATGGGTTACAAATTTCCACAGCAAAGTTAGTCTCTTCTTAATGACAGCCTAATATGTAATCCACAGGGAAGGAAGAGAGCTGGGAGAGAAAGAAAATATTTTCTAAAATAAGAGAGCACATCAGCCTACTTGTACTTTGTGCAACTTCTATCAAAAGTTATGCTCAGAGCTTTCATAATTGTTTAGAGAAAAATCAGATTGTTGATATGATAGAAAAGGGTCAGACAGGTTAAGCATGAGGCCAGATATTTCACTTTAAAAACATGAAAGGACACCTCACATAATGTGTTCTTAAGCTCCTTAAAAAGTACCAAAAGGCAAATCCAGAGTTTGAAAGTTGCAGAATTCCTACAGTTCAGAGTTTCTCCCAGGTCCTGAGTCTGCTTTGCTTGCCACCAACAACAGCAAAGTTTAGCAGAGCTAAGTTAGATTTCAATAATTAAACACACTAAGGAAACAAATTTGCATGTTTCGCTGATAAGGTTTAAGCAGGTTAAAGGATTTGAAAATATTCTGTCCCAGGAGAATTCCCAGTTTAAGTCCTTAAGCAAAACATTTCCCTTTCTGAAGGTCAAAAAGAACTTCAAGGTTATTACATCAGAGAAAGAATTTCTTAGTTTGGATTCCTTTTTTTATTTCTATTTATTTTTCTTTCTCACCATTTGTGCCCCTTGTTTACTTTCTGAAAAGTTTTGTTTATTCTCTCAGCCCAGGCAGACAAACAGCGAGGTCAGTTACTGATACAAGTTGCTGTGCTACAGATTGTTCTAAAGAGGAACTAAAAATCCAGCTATAAACAGAAAGGAAATCCCATCCTTTCTCTTATTCTTCTGCGCATTCCTCCCATCTCTTTTTTTGCTAACTCATGTTGAGTCAACCGAAAACTAAGCCAGGAATAAAGTTGTAAATAAGGTAAAGCAATAATTTCCTTAGTGATTGCTTCTGATCTGGGCTAGTTCTCTGCAAAGATGCTTGAAGGGTACAAGTGCTGGTAATGCATAGGAGGGGTGGTGGGGTGGCAAAGCCAGGATTACCCCTTCCAGGAGAGAATAAGACTTAGGTCAATTTAGAGCAAAAGCCAAAATGAAGCACAGGTGACTGGTATCAGCTCTTCTCTCAGATCAACTTTACACCAAGCACGACTGTAAAACCTATGAAGAGTACTTGTTTAAATGCAATTTCTCTTCTCA